TATATATATATATATATATATATAATAAACAGCCAGTTTGGCTTAAAAGCAAAAAAATCAAGGACAACTGTATGCATATCATATAGCTTTTATATATTTACATATTTAATATATTTTTATTATATTTACCTCTACAACATTTAACATCACATAAATTTAATTTCTCATATTAAATTTTCAAAAGTTAAACTCATCTATTCCTTCATAGATTAATTTATAACATCAAAGTATTTTAAATATGAGAAAAATTTACTTGCATATCATTTAATTCTTATATATTTATATATCTAATATTGAAACTAATTTTTATTTATACGACAATTTATCAATGCATAAAAGCGTGTATTTTATTTTTAAAAACTAAAATATTGATATTAGTTACTTGATATGGAAAATTTTGATGGTATAAATGTAAATAAACAAAGTTTAGGTACTAAATATATAAATATATAAGAATTTTGTGATATGTATTTAAATGATTAGTAAAATTTAAGAAGAATTGATTACTTTAATTTTTTGTTTTTCTTTTTAATCCCATTTATACATTAAATTCTATTATAAATATATTTAAATCCAACAAATTATAATATATTTTGAAAATAAAATATTAAATATATAAGATGATATAAAATATTAAATTAATTGTGATGAAAAGAAATTGAAAAAAATCAATTCATATTTTCGCATAAATATATCATATAACTAATAATGCGACCCTCATAAATGTATTAATTAGAATATTCAGACATTTATTTTCAACGCGGCGAGTGTGAACGGGTTGAATGACCGGAGAATCTAACCGGGTCTATGTGGGGCCTCCACGCTCCAGCAAATATCCAATCACAGAGCTAGCAATAAATTTGGCCAGCTGGAGTCTTCGGTCAACCGCGAAAAGGAATTAGTTGATGTGATCGGACATTTATAAATCATCTTCAATATATTACAAAAAAACCATAAAGTGATTATAAATTTAAAATTTGCTTCTCATCAATATTATATTTATTTGCACTTATTAAATCCAATTTTGTAAATTATTCATCATACAATTACATATTATACCCTTAAAGTATGTAGGTGTGATAGAGATATTTTGATTTGTATATAATTTAGGTATGTGTGACTCATAAATATGGTCGAGCGACTGCGAAGCCGATGGTAGTTAGATTGAGCGCTTGTATGTGTCGAGCGGTCATGTAAGCCATGCGGCTATAAGACCATATAGCGGCTGGTCTGGGTGGCCCCCAAGCGGTGCAGTTGCTCAATCTAACGATCATTTAAGCCGAGCAACTATGAAAGCAAGTGGTCGTTGGTCTGGGAGACACCTAAGCTGGGCGACCACTTGTTGTTGCTCCACATCAACCGCCTTGGAACTGAAGAACCAATTTCTCTTTCCCGGTCTATCTATGTTGAAAAATGATGGGCTCGTCCATGTGTATCTGATCGATTGGATTCTTCAGGGGGATCTTCCCCATATACATTTGAGGCGTCCCTCTTTACACCACGTGGGACCGTCCATTTGAGCATGCGATCTCGGGCCGCCCTTTGTAGGTCCCTCGAGGCCACATCACATCTTTGATTATCCGCGAGATGTTTTTTCGATTGGTGCTGACATGTCTTCAATGTACAGTTATGCTATAAGAATTAGATTAGCATGTTTGAGTCTTTGAGATACTTAAACTTAAAACATTTACATACATATTTCTTGATTCTCATGTTGCCCTTTTGACAATGCACACTTTATTGGCTCTTTGAATTCTCTTATCGACGATATCCTTTATGGCTTTCTCATTTCTTCTTATACATCCCCACGGCTCATCATAAATCTCTCTATCATTTATGTTTTAATTCGAGGAATAGGCTGAAGTTGAAAGTGTACAACCAAAAGCAACTAATTGGGCCCTGCAAAAAGGAAAAATTTACGTACTTCAAGGGGTACGCATCTCTGCGTACATAATAGTGTACACGAGAGTTACATGGGAGTTACAAGCGTGTACACGAGAGTTACATAGGAGTTACAAGCATGTATAATTGTTACAACAAGGTTACACGGGATTTACACATGAGGTTACACGGAAGTTACACGGGAGGTACAACATGTTATAACCCCCTTGTAACTCTCATGTAACTCTCACGTACATTATTATGTACGCAGAGATGCGTACCCCTTGACGTACGCTAGGGCTGTCAAAACGGCTCATTGTTCGCAAACAGCTCGTGTTCGGCTCGTTAAGAAGCTCGTGTTCGGCTCGCTAATTTTGTTCGATAAGTTAACGAGCCGAACACGAACTAAGATGTGTTCGTTCGTGTTCGGCTCGTTTTGGCTCGAAATACTACTCATCAAGTTTATATATATATTAAGTAGTATTTTAAAAAAATCTAACTGACTACAAGACTACAAAGATTTATAATCAATTAAAATATTGATTAAGAAAATAGAATAAAAATTATTAAATTAGATTCAAATGATGTTTTAATATAAACAATAATTTTTTAAACTTGCTCAAAATCTTATTGTCTTATGTCTTATGGCTACATGATTAGGGTTGTTAAAAGGACTCTTTGTTCGTGAACAGCTCGTGT